TGATGGGCACAAACTTTCATCTATCTTCCAATCGTCCAACAATAGAGTGTCCTTTAGTCTTGAAATGGCTTAATTGATGTTGAAGCTGTTAACAATTCCATAAATCTTTCAGCCAGTCCTTCCTCGTTGAAGTCACAGTCTCTGTCTTTGCACCAATATCTGCCAACAAAATGGTCAGTCGCTTTTCTCCACTGTTCCCAGACATAAACTTAAGTTTCACGTGTCTTCATTGCATTTCATGTATCCTTTGCAAAATCTAAATGACAGAAATTGAGTGATAATTTGATGAAGGACAGCTTTGAAAAGCACAAAAGACCTTTGCTGGCAGACCTCTTAACGCACTTAAGATTTTTTTTCTGAAGAAGGGTCTAGGCCCGAAACGTCAGCCTTCCTGCTCCTCTGATGCTGCTTGGCCTGCTGTGTTCATCCAGCTCTACACCTTGTTATCTCAGATTCTCCAGCATCTGCAGTTCCTACTATCTCTGAAACAATCTTTCCCAGGATGTTGTCTGGATTCAAGTGTACTAGCCATAAGGAGAGGTGGGACAAACTTGGATTGCTTTTGCTGAAATGTTGGAGGCTGAGGGGTGACCTGATAGAAATACATAAAATTATAAGAGGCATGGAGAAGGTGGATAGGTCGGTGTCTTTTTCCCAGGGTGGAAATGTCAAATGGTAGGGAACATAGTTTTAAACTTACCCCTCTCCCCTTAAATGAGGTGCGCTGAGAAAGTTTTTACACAGAGTAGGTGGTAGGTGCCTGGAATACACTACCAGGGAGGTGCTAAAATCAGATATGTTAGCAATGATTAAGAGGCACTTAGACATATGAACATGCAGGATAAGGAGGAATACGGGCTATGTGCAAGCAGATGGGATTAGTTTAGAATGGCATCACAGTTTGCACAGATATGGTGGGCCAAAGGGCCTGTACCTGTGTTGTACTGTTCTATGCTGTTTAGATGCGCTGGTGGTATATTGGTAATGCCACTGGCCTAGTAATCCAGAGGTCCAGGCTACCGGTCTGGGGAACACAAGTTCAATTCCTAAAATGACTGGGAAAACAGTTCCAGGGAGGGAAGTTGGTTTATGACGAAGCTTATAAAATACTGTTGTGTCTGGAAGCAGTGTTTCATCAGCTAAATCGTCTGATTATACTGACAGCTCTCTGACTATAGATAGCACAACTCTGCTGCTGTTAGAGACCTCAACTAATAGGAGAATAATTCCCTCCTGACGTTCAGAACACATCCGAGATGTGAGCACTTGCTAACTTCCCATTGTGCCAAATTGGAGAGGTGACAAACCTAATGAGATCTTCAAGACAGTCCAGAGGGTAGGCCTGATGAAGGGTCTAGGCCCGAAACGTCAGCCTTTCTGCTCCTATGATGCTGCTTGACCTGCTGTGTTCATCCAGCTCTGCACCTTGTTGTCTCAGAGGGTAGGCCTGGTGGGTTTCGACGACACTGTTTTTCTGGGTCCACAACTGGTATAGAAATGATTACCACTGCAGGTAGCTGCTAAGCAGCTACTGGATGCCATTTTACTGGAAAGTTAAAGACCTTTCGGAAAGACAGGAGGAAGGAAAAATGGTGGGGTGGTGTAGTTAATAAGATGAAAGGACGACAGTTGGGAGAGGTGATATGTATAGACCCCAAATAGTAGTCACACTGTAAGAAAATCTATAATTCAATAAAGAATTGGAGCATGTAAAAAGAATAGAAAAGCATAGTTATTTTGGGCTACTTTAATCTTATTGATTGAGTTAATCAAGTTGGATACGGTTGCTACAATGATTTTGTCCCTAATTCCTGGGATGAGGGCATCACTGGCTAGGCCAGCTTTTATTGCCCATCCCAGAGGGCAGTTAAGAGTCAACCACATTGCTGTGGTAGAGTCACATGCTGGCCAGACCAGGAAAGGATGGCAGTTTCCTTCCCCAAAGGACGAGTGAACCAAATGTTTTTTTCTGATAATGAACAATGGTTCGGTTCATTGTCATCATCAGACTCTTAATTCCAGATGTTTTAAAATTGAATTCAAATTCCACCACCTGCCGTGTCAGGACTCAAACTCGGATCCCCAGAACATTACCTGGATCTCTGGATTAACAGTCCAGTAATAATGTGTCTAGGCCACCACCTCCCCATGAATATTCATAGAATGCATTAGGGATCATTTCCTATAGCAATATGATATGCAGCCAACCAGGGAACAGACTATCTTGGATCTGGTAACGCATAATAACTGGTTTAATAACTGACCAGAGTAAAATATCCTCCAAGGAAGTAGCGATAATAACATGACAGTGGCAGACATTTAAGAAGGCAATTCATGACTCTCAGCAAACCTGTATTACAGAAAGGAAGAAGTCTAAGGATAAACTAACTAAGCAAGTTTAGGTGTGAGTGTGTCATAATGCACTAATTAAACATGCTGCCAAAAGCTAAATTAAAGTGTCACAGGGAAAAAGTTTCATGTTTCCTGCTTAAATATGCATTCTTCATTCTGGGAGATGATCTCGTCAGATGATCACTAGTGTGGTGCTTTAAGAGGTGGATCGATAAGCCCTGTTCATGTGAATCTCAGCCAATTGTTTACTAACCATGCATAGATAATTCATTAAAAAAACAAAAGTAGCTCTTGAAACAGCTACAATTCTTTAAAAGGAAAGTTTACCTACACTTGGCAAAAAAGAAATCTTCATTTTCTTCAAAAGCATTCTCTCAGTACAGAGTTACAGATTCCAGCCAAGTCTGGTATAGTAAGCAGCTCACTTACCTAGCCAAATTAATTCGAGCTTTTTGTCCTCCACTGAGTGTGACTCCACGATCTCCAATTTGAGTCAGGTCACCATCCTGAAGCAGTTCCAAATCCTATGGAAGTTACACAACATTTTTTTCAATAAATTCTGCATTATCACTTTAAAGTGGTTTCATTACAAATCTTGCTTTGACCAAAGATTACTTCATATATATAAAACTCTAGGGGTTCCATACAGCAATGATTTTGAGACACTCTCCTTCCAGTGAGATATATCCTTACACCAGAATTAACCTGCTGCAATTTAAGTTTCTTTTTTGACTGAACCTCATGAGCAAGCTTTCTAACTGTTTCAGCTCATATTCTAAAGATCTAAACCAATCAAGGTGAAGCTGGGACAACAAGGTGCAGAGCTGGATGAACACAGCAGGCCAAGCAGGAAGGCTGACGTTTCGGGCCTAGTGAGAATGCTTACATGTTTCTACTGCGTTTAAAAAAATTATCAGGAGCATAACTTTCCTTAAAAGTGAGCTTTCTTTGCCAAGCTTTTTTACGTTTCTGAATATTAACTCATCACAGGAATGAACAAAGACACAAGTCATTAGTCAGTTCAGAAACTTCTTTCAACTGTGGTCAACTGTACCTGCTGTCTAGAACTCTACAACCACGATCCTTCATTTTCCCCAATGCTCCTTTGTCTGTCTCTTGTAGAAAGATTTCAACCCTCGCCTTTTTATCCTGCCTCTACTTCATTCCATAGGCTCCTCAGCTTGTGAACATAGGAAATGCATACAATTTTATGTTCAAATAATTTTGACAGCTAAGAATCCCAAATCAGTTTATACAAGTTAACTGAAACTACGGTTGTTAGCCTTCTACGTCATGCACTATTTCAGTTACAAAGGTTATTTCATTAAATTGATCCTACAGCCACATGGGCAAATCTACTCATCTGAGCCACATGACCACTTTTCAAATTCTAGTGCTTCCCTCTGCAGCATGAGGTAGGCATTACACTAGGGCACATACATAAGAACATAAATTCTTCACTTGGAAATATTTATTGCAAAACCTTGATACACTGGGGAAAAAAAAGTGTCTCTTCAAACAATGGAAAATAAAGCTACAAATCAATTCGTTGATTTGAATGAAACCGTGTAAAATAGCTGACAATGACACATCCCTCCCTTACACACTCAAAGCTTTCTACACTCGGTTTGAGCAGAGTACCATTGGCATGGCAATGCCTGCTCTGATAGCCTCAGACACACCTGTTCCCTCTGTCACTGCTTTAGAAGTCAAATCAGGCTGCCTGGGAGCCAACATAAGGAAAGCAACAGGCCCAGACAGTGACCTCGGCCAAGCACTCAGATTCCGTGCAGACCAACTGGTGGAGGTATTCACCGACATCTTCAACCTCTCCCTCCTAAAGCCAAAGTCTCCACCTACTTCAAGAAGGCCACCATCATCCCAGTACCCAAGAAAACACATGCAATGCACCTTAATGACTACCTCCCAATAGCTCTAACTTCAATAATCTTGAAGAGCTTCAAGAGGCTGGTCATGGCCCACATCAACTCCAGCCTCCCAACCTGCCTCAATCCCCTACAGTTTGCCTACTGATATGGGCGGCACGGTGGTTCAGTGGTTAGCACTGCTGCCTCACAGCACCAGGGACCTGAGTTCAATTCCACCCTTGGGCAACTGTCCATGTGGAGTTTGCACGTTCTCCGTGTGTCTGGGTGGGTTTCCTCCGGGTGCTCCGGTTTCCTCCCACAATCCAAAGATGTGCAGGTTAGGTGGATTGGCTATGCTAAATTGCCCATAGTGTCTGGGGGATGGTCCTGGGTGGGATACTCTGAGGATCGATGTGGACTTGTTGGGCTGAGGGGCCTGTTTCCATATTGTAGGGATTCTATGATTCTACAATTCTATAACAGATCCACAGAGGATGCTATATCCTTCACCTTGCACTCATTCCTGGAACATCTAGATAACAAAGACACCTACATCAGACTCCAACTTCAACACCATTATCCCCTCCAGACTGATCTCAAAACTGCGTGACCTTGGTCTCAGCTCTGCTCTCTGCAACTGGATCCTCAGCTTTCTGACCCATGGGCCGCAATCATTGAGGATGTGTAACTGCATGTCCTCCACAATAACACTCAACACTGGAGCTCCTCATGGATGCATCCTCAGCCCCCAACTATAGTTCCAATATACCTACGACTGTGTTGACAAATTCCAAATGAATGTCATCTACAAGTTCGCTGACAACACCACTGTAGTGGGACGGATATCTAACAACGATGAGTCAAAATACAGAAGGGAGATTGGGGGCTTGGTGACGTGGTGCAATGAAAACAATCTGTCTCTCAATGTCAGTAAAACTAAAGAAATAATTGTTGACTTCAGAAAGAAAGGAGGAGAACATGCCCCCCTCTACATCACCAGAACTGAGGTTGAGAAGGTGGAGAGCATCTAGTTCTTCGGAGTGACGATAACCGATGACCTGTCCTGGACTTACCATGTAAATGCGACAGTCAAGAAGGCACAACAATGCTTCTTCTTCCTCAGGAGGCTCAGGAAATTTTGTAATGTTCATAAGATCCCTCACCAGCTTCTACAGATGCACCACTGAAAGCATACTGCCTGGCTGGTATGGAAACTGCTCTGCCCAGGACCATAAGAAACTACAGAAGGTGACATGCACAACCTAGACCATCACAGAAGCCAACCTTCCATCCAAGGACTCTATTTACACAACTTACTGCTGCAGAAAGGCAGCCAACATCATCAAAGACCCATTGCACCGTGGTAATGACCTCCTACAACCTCTTCAGACAGAAGATACAGAAGCCTGAACACACGCACAAGCAGGCCGTTCTTTCCAGCCGTTATCAGACTGTTGAATGGACTCTAGCCTCAAATAATGTAACCTGCAATGTAACCTGTATGCTTCTAAGCCTCGAAGTCTTTTTGATCTGTACATCCTTTGCTTGCTGTGATCTGCCTGTAATGCTCGTAAACAAAGCTTTTCACTGTATTCTGGTACACTTAACAATAAAAAAAATTAATCAATCACATGGTGATCAAAGTATATACTCCACTGAACAACTCCAAGAAAATAAATCATCCTACATTCAGTATTTGCAGATTAGAAGAGATAGCGGGTTATTCAACCAAGGCCATCATAGTTTGATGCACTAATACTGTTTGTAAATCAAAAAGTGCAGTTAAAACATTTATCTGAGTCAGTGAAAGAACAAAAATATTGTGGTTCACTGAAAAATAAATCACTCTCAAAAAGGTTTCCTTAAAAACATTCTTAGATTTTGGTGGGACAAGAGGACAATCAATACAAAGCTCACCGAACCAGTGTCTGTCCCGGATAAAATGACCAGCTCTGGTCTACATTAAGCTGCTGGAAATTGGCCAATAAGTCACAGAGACACAGGTTAATGCTGGAACAGGCCACATAGTTAGTCAAAATGAGGACTGACTCCTAAAATGGATCAGGTTCTCAGCAGGGACTTTGGGTGAGCTGCATAATCACTTCAGCTGTTGGTAGCTTGATATCAACCCTGTTGTTTAAAGTTCTAAAAGTTCATTTTATTCAAATTTCTAGCAAGGCAGATTTGGATGATGATGTGATAACAGTGAAAAGGGCAATTTGACAGAACTCCATTTCCAAATAAAATTACAGCAGAATGATTTAACAAGCCTCAGAATTCTTGCTTATAAAGATGTAACCATCATTCAACTCCTTAGTTCTAATATCAGCCTCTGTTTGTCAATGTTATCTTGGATACTTGACAAATCAGAGAAGGTAATGTTGTCAAGTCTGTTATTTTAGATAAATAGTGAATCACAGTGTATTATTATGCATAGCACTAGCATGTTAGGAGAGAACTGCAAATCCATTCAGCAATGCCTCATAACAAGCTACAAGGAAGTGATGCCCCTTGAGTTTCCATTTTTTTTTGCCTGAGCTAAGCAACAATTCCAAAATGAGCTTGATTCATAAAAACATTGACAGCTGTACAGGACGGATGTTGGCTCAAAAGAGAGAGAGATTTACATGAATTTATTATAAATACTGGATTTATGTGTTGACAAATTACACTGGCATAAGTTTACAAAGGACAGAATACCTATCATGTTTAACATAAATGGAGGGATGTTAGTAGAATCTAATCTGAGATAAGAGGAACTGAGTAGTTGAAGAAGTATCAGTTAATCAAAGAAGTTAAATAAGGATAATTACATAGGGATGTGGGTACAGCTAGATGGAATGGACTGGGAAAGGAGTCAACTGCAAAGACAGTTGACTAATGAAAATAGTTCAAGACTCAGAGCACAGTGAGGAAAAAGAATTTTAGAAAAAGAGGATAAAAAGATCATGGTCAATGAAATAAGTTAAGGATAGGACCAAACTGAACGAAAAAAACAAATGTGGCAAAGTGGTAGTCCAGAGGATTGGCAAAGTTGTAAAAGCCTAAAGAAAATGAGAAAATCAACTGAGGGTAACCTAGCAAGTAACATAAAAACAAACTGTGATATCTTCTATATAAAAGAAAGGCCAAAATGAATATAGGGCCTTTATAGCATGAGGCTGAAAATGGTAAACCAGCAAATGGCAGAGTCAAATAAATACTTTGCATCAGAGTCATACAGTCATGGAGCATAGAAAAAGGCTCTTCAGCCCAGTGTCTGCGCCAGTCAAAAACATCTATCCAGCCATTCTAATCCCCCTAATTAGTCCAAACAGTAAAGAACACAAACAGCATTCAAAAATGACTAAATAATCAAAAGGTTAAAGTGGGGTGAGGAAATAAACACAGTAACTATCATGAGAGAAAGAATATTAGTAAAATCCTTCTGTCAAGTCTCCCCCGACCAGCCTCCACCACTTCAGAGTTTAACCCCATAGGGTTAAAAGGACAGCACAGTGGCTCAGTGGTTAGCACTGCTGCCTCTCAGTGCTAGGGACTCGAGTTTGATTCCATCCTCAGGCAGAAGTCTGTGTGGAATTTGCACATTCTCCCCATGTCTACATGGGTTTCCTCCGGGTGCTGTGGTTTTCTCCCACAGTCCAATGATGTGTAAG